TAACATGCATCTACATGTTATAATCATAATTATATTGTTCCCTTTAGAAAGTAATTTGCGGGAATGTTTGAAATCTTAATTTTGAACTTTCTGAAAGTATTTATGTAGCTTTTCACTTTTAAAACTAAGAATAAATAGACTTATATAATGCGGAGAAATAATTTTTAGCGGCAATTAATTAATGACAATAGCTAAATTGTTAGTATATATATTCTTTTAGCGGTAATTAACACTTTTTGTAAATTTTTCTAAAACTTATAACGGCAAAGGATTCAACGACATTAACTAATGCCGGTAAGAGTACATAAGCATTATTTATTAATATACATATTTATTTCCGCTAAGAGTAAAATCTAGTTTGTTTTGAGCTAATTAGTCTCACTTAGAAGAATTAGTAGAAAATTTTCTCCTTTTTTAGCATTGTATTCTTCTCTTTTGTCTGTCAATCTTGACTAATATTCTATTGTAAAATGTTAAGAAGAAATATGAAAATATAAATATTTGAAAATATAATTAAATAAATAAAAAAATATAATATCTATCATATACAAATAGTCGAATATCAAAATAAATAAAAAATCAAACTATGGAAAGGGTATGTTTTCTTTTAATTATTTAAACTGACTGATCGTAAAACTGGAGATACGGAGTAGGAGCCACAAGTTGTCCCAATTCCACGAATGAATAGGGAGTAAGACGACTAAATTAATATTAGGTACCATCATTATGTTGGCTTGTGAAGAAATGAATGGTCAGAAAGGGGATTTGACTTGTCACATTTCTTTCACTAAAATGGAGAAATAATTTGAGAAGAGGACAACAATACCGTTATACACGCTTCTCATACGTGAAAAATGAAGACTAACTAGGGGAGAGTAACTTTCTTTATTCAAAGGTAATTCAAATTAGGATAGTTAAATATTTTGTTTGATTGCACCTAGCCAGCTAGCTAGCCAGCCAGCCTCCCTCTCAATTTGAGAAAATATTGTTGTTGTTGGATGTGCGAATAAAGTTTTACTTGATAGATAATATAGTACTATCATATTATATCAAGATTATTCTTAAACTGTTTCAACATATTAGATGCGCGAATAAAGTTTCACTTGATAAATAATGTAATATCATATTGTATCAAAATTATTCTTAGATTGTTTCAACCTAATGGCTAGTATAAGAGTGTGGTGTGGGGTATGACTTAGTGCCTTTGCCCAACTATGGATAGGTCTATGACATTTTACCCAATGGCTTTAGAGACGCACATACAAGCATTGAGTTTTGGTAACCGTAAATACTATAATGATGTTGGCTGTGGCACATAGACACGATTGGATCTCTGACCCTGCTTCATGATAACGTAACGACCCATGTGGAACTTAGTTTAAGGAGGCTAGTGCGAGAAAAGTCTCATATTGATAGTTGAAAAATAATGATTCTTGTAAGATTTTATATATACTTTAACATATGAATTTTTTTGAAGAAAATCGCATTGACTTAGGTCAAAGTAAATAATATCATATCATATTAAAATATTATTAGCCTATTTTAACTCCTTATAATAACCACATGTTAGATTGAAAAATTCAAAAGGAGTAATGAATATGGAGTAAGTAGTGGAAATAAAAATATTTACTCGCATCCTATACTTACAATAAACCAATGAATACCATGTGTATTTCTTATACACATTTGTATTACCTAATTAAATATATTATTTCTTCCAATTGAAATCATCTATATATAATGTTTCACTTCTCAAAATTTAAATTATATGTAAATTTTAGCTAAACACTTTAAAATTTATTTTCATCATATATTATAACATTATAAGATGCAACGTATAGTATTATTATATTATTTCAAAAAATCATATATTGGACTTTTTGCACATAAAGTTAAAAATAATTTCCAACTCAATGTTTCGAACACTGACATGTTTTATTGTTGGTAAAGTAAAGTTTTATTAGTGATCATATTCAATATTGAGTGTGGACTAAACAAAAAAAAAAAAGCTCTTTCTCCACGTAAAATTATATTTGCAACTTGGATCCTATGAAAATAATAATAAGCTTGAATTAATGAGTTGGTCTACTAATTATTGGCTTGGCTGCTAAATTATGACTAATGACTACATGTGAACTATCTCTGATCACATCAATGTAACTCAACCTATTTGCAATAATTAGCTCTTTTAATTATTTTTCCTATCCAATCGCAAGTACTTTTGAGTTTAAATTCTTAAAATGCATGTGTTATTTTTTGTTTGAAATACTTTACCCTCGACTTATCACCTTATGCTTAATTTTCAATGTATGATCGAAAGCTTAGAACATATCAGTAATATGAATATTTAGATAAATCTTAATTGTTATTAGTATGATTTTTTTTTATATTAGACTAATAAGAAAGCAAAATATGACAGGGTTGACACTAATTTGTGACCAAATGATTCAGTATAGTGGAATTGTGAACTGTTTGGCTAATAAAAACTTTGGAGTTGTTCAATAATTCGAGCCAATTATCTTCCAGAAATTCAGGGTTTTTGCTAATAGAAATGAGAATTCACTATAATTGGGTAAGTGTCGATTTCAAATAATTGCTTACATTTTATTCTCTTTGTTTGAAAAAAAAAATATAAAAAGAAAACAGCCAACGTGGTACTCACTATATGTCATTTTAGATTCTATCTTTTTCTCACCTTTCGACCAATTACTTGCCCCTTTAATTCCAGCATATCTCTAAATTAAGCAAAATATTACAAGCAGAATTATTATTATTTTTATTTAAAAAAAGCAATCGAGTTTAGTCTATTTTAGAGGAAAAGAATTAAACGAATAAGGGAAATATTTTGCACGATTCCATCTATATCCCCTATTATTTTTGTCCATTCAATAAATTGTTATCTCGAGAGACTGTAATGCTACTTTTATCTCATATAATGAATTTAAACAACAATTTTGATATAGCAATTTCGCAACCAAACAAGCCCTTAGATTTTTTTTCTATAACTTAGTTGAGCTAGGTGACTCGAAATGTGTAATCAAATTAACTTTCATCTCTCATTAAATAATAATTGTAATACTATAATATTAACCCGGTTGGTTCTGATTTTTCCTTATTTACGAACGCTTTTTAACATGTTTATGATGATTCAGTATTTCTCCCTCCGTTTGAATTTACTTGTCAAATTTTGACATGATACATGTATATTAAGAAAAACAATGATTGACATAGTCAATTTATCATTTTATCCATTTTAATTGATAGGGTCCAAACGTATTTATTAGTACATGTTTCAAAATCATTGACTCAATGCAAATAAACTGAGGGTAAAAATAGGGGGGGAAATGTGAAAATGATTCGGAAAAAATTTTAACTCTGGCCGAAATTGCCGATACTATATACCAAACTTTATATAGAATTTTTTTCTCCTACACTATTTAATACTAGTGTATTTTAAAGATAATATGTGTCCACATAAACAAGTTTAAAAAGGACAAATTCAAAGAAAAATCAAATTAAAAAATATTTGAAAAATAAAAATTGAATGAATCAGTTTCAATTTTATACCAAGTTGCAATGGTACTCTTTACCTATAATTAAAACTTTGAATATAATTTATGTACGGAATAAATAAATATAAATAAATGAAAGAAATAAATAAATAGAGGCAACAAAGTAGAGCAAGGTAACAAATGCTATGTTATGATTATTATAAACGGCTCGCTATATTAGCTCATCAGTGCATCGCCCGCCTACTAGTGGTATTATTTGTATAGCCAAATATAGAATGATTGTCCTTCGATGCCCGCTGCATTTTCAGCATGTACACAAATGCATAATAACATCACGTTTCGTATTCGTGACGAGTAGTCCATAAATTGCACAATCATTTTTTTTTTTGTTAAAAAGAATTCACTGAATTATAATAATTTATTATGTCACAAGTATTCAAATATATCATAATATTTATAAAATATTTTTTTCTGATGAAATTCCTATGCTTATAAATGTTCAACTACCACAAAGTGACTACTCAATAGTATAGCTTAAAGTCATTCACACTCAGCAGAAACGCACCGACTTGGCCAAGTGAACAACCGCAAATCCCGCCTGCTCGCGTTGGGCAAAGAGAATGCCACTTTTACACTAATATTACCATAGTATTACACATGATTTAATTATCATAATCACACTTTAGCACAATGATGTGATCGTGAGATTTCTTCGCTGTTAATAAAGTTGGAATTGGAAAATCTTGTGATAGTAAAGTTGTTAAAGAATGACAAAAGTCCCATTAATGAGATAGGTGGAATCTTTAGAAGGCATGGGCAATCCTGCTCCCTTTGAGTTAGCTTTTGGGGTTTGAGTTAAGCCTGATCTCCGAAATTAAAATTGCTCATGTACCAAATGCTAAGCACTGGGCGTGAGATGGGGTGTTAAAGAATGACAAAAGTCTCACATCGGTGATTAATTAGATAGGTGGACTCTTTTCAAGGCATGAGCAATTCTCCTCACTTTGAGCTAGTTTTGGGCGTAAGACCTAATTTTAGAGAAGTGAACCAGATCATTTTTGTTTGTTCACATTCAAAAAGCAATTTACTTACGATACTTAGTTGACATTCATAAAAAGCGTGAAGTGAGCTCTAACAATCGAAGCGGCTAAAGGAGCCTGCTTTGGTGACCCTACGAGGAAGTGTTGCTCATGTTAGTAAGCTTCAAACTTCTGGTAACCAAAGGCATTTCGGGAATCGGCCTGATTCTATCTCTTTTCGTTCCGTTTGAAGAAAGGAAGATTCCTTCAGTTTCATACTAGTTGTTTACCTTTCTTTGCTACAATACTAGTTGGAATTTTTCCTTAATGAATAGGGGATAAATTAGTAAAACTAATCATCTTACTTATGATTTCTGCATGAAGGGAAAAATGAACAAATTTAAGTTAGTATTGGAATGAATAGTTAATGTTAAAAAATAATGTTTCGGTGGAGAAGGAAGAAAACAAGTGGGAGAAAAAAGAAGACTAGATTCTGAAGGCATAGATAGATACACAAATTTCAGCGAACATTAAGCATCTCCTATTTAGTTCATGTAAAAGCATTACTACTACTACATTGAAAAGGGGCCTCACTACTTATTATCAAAATAACAATCTACTATTTCACTCCGTTAACTTTAAAACGGAGAATAAAAAACAAACAACTTTATACTAGTCGATGATTTCTCATTGTCGCCGGTAGACAAAATTGACAATGAATGGTAGATTGGAAAACTATAACGCCATTAGTACATCAACACTGGAAAAATCTCCAATGTCTTTGAAATAATTATCCACTTCTAATGCACCCAAGTCTAGAAATGAATCATCAAATTTGCAGATCTCTGGGTCTAACACAGAGTCATTTGTGAAATCCCAAGACGAAAACAAATCATCATTGGTGAAACTTGTTGTGTCATTAAACAGTGACTGTTCTGCATCTGCAAAGTTGAAATAATCGTCTAAGAAGGAAACGTCTGTGGGTAAGTAGTCATTTGAATAGTCTGGTATGACTGTAAGTGTCTCGCCTTGGCACTCAAGGTGCTCACTGTTTGGTTCTTCTTCCACCAATACTGTGCAATTTTCTTTTATGTCTTCGAGACCGGGTTCTGCTTCTTCACTGGATTCGCTACTTCTGAACCGCAAAACAGAGGTAGGAGAAGAAAGATTGTGTGATTCATCACCAGATTCGTACCCCGAATTCGAAGCCACATTCACTTCCGGCTTCTCTTTTATTGGAGGAGTGATGAAATTAGTTAAAGCATCTGGTCCACGGAGCTTAATAGCTGCATTATCATAAACCATAGCAGCTTCTTCAGCAGTATCATAAGTACCTAACCAGAGCCTAACGCGACGCGCTGGGTCTCTGATTTCAGCAGCCCATTTACCCCACGGCCGTTGACGCACTCCCCTGAACTTCCGAACCGTTTTATCAGCCACTTCCTTCCCTTTCAACGCCTTCTGCTTCGCCTGCGAACCTTCAGCTACTCGCTTCTTCCCATTACCACTACTCAAAGTTTTCACATCATTAACTGATGGACTCTCAATACTGATTTCACTAATGTATCTTTTCACACGCTTACGCCCAAAAAGCTCATCTTCATCACTTGAAGAGTCAGTTGCATCTGGATCAGTAACACATATCCGTACAGTCCTCGGATTATACTCCGAGGATTTCCGAACATCTGATACCTTCTTAGGCTTAATAACGGAAGGCTTAGTAACTTTTCTGATTGTTCTCTTGTGTTCGGTATATTTGATCGGACAAAGCGAACTGTGATGATCCATAGTAAAAATTCAGAAAAAGGATGACAATGTTTTGAGAGTGGCACTGCGCCAAGGTATTAAAAAGGAAAGGAATAGTCAAAGGGAAGCTTGAAAGAGAAGGAGAGAACCAAAGACATCTGACAAAAAGAGGAGCAAGGTTCGTTAAAAGATGGAATATATAGAGTTAAAGGGGGCAAAAAGAAAAGAAGAAAGTAGAAGGAGCACCACAAGCTTCACAGAAACGGAGCACAAAGCTTTGAAGGTGATAACAAAGCAAAACCCTTTTAACAAAGTGAAACCTCTAAGAAAGAAAGAAGAGCTAAAAAGGATTTAGTGTAAGCGTGAGGGTTAAAAAGGTTTGTGGACAATAAAGGGAAATACCATATGGTCTAAAAAACAAAAAAAAGGTAAGGAATCAAAAACTCGTAATCCTATGTTTCTCAAACAAATACTTGCTAGTATTGTTGTTGTGTGATGAAATATGAATGAAAGAGAAAAGTTTTGGAGAGACAGAGTTGTGTTTCTTCAAGTCCGTGAGACTACAACCTCTTTTATAGGATACAAGCCGAAATTCCAATATATGTACATTACTATTACTTTTATTTTTATAATAAATTGCACTATTATTAAATGTTACATAAATATGGCAGTAGTACCATACATGTACCCAAAAACAAAACAAAGGCAGTAGTAGTACCATACACTATCACATTCTAAAAATATCTTCCCTCCTCCGAACAAACGAAATTTATGAAATATAACTTCTGAATCTTGTAATCTAATAGCAAAGTTAAAAATTTCATTAAAAAAATATTTAGAAATAACACAATAAAAGTGGAGAAAACATTTGATGCTCGTGAGATTCAAACACGCAAGCACTATTTCATTTCAAGCATATGAAATTACTACCCTACAATAGCTTGTTGCAGTGTCAGAGCCAAAATTATTAGTAAGGGGTTCAAAAATTGAAGAAATAGACATACGAAATAGTCGAAGGGGGTTTGACACCTACTATATATACATAAAAAATTATTTTAATCATGTAAAAAACTATAATTTTCCACTGAAAGGAGTTCGGATGAACCCCTAATGACAGTGTGGCTCCGCCACTGGCTTGTTGTGTTAAGGATATCAAAAGATGTTATTTAATCATTTCTTGTATATACGATATTTTCTTTCGAAATAATTGGACACCTCGACAACCAAATAGCTACACCACTATACTGATCTAACTAAAAATATATATGACGTATCAAAATGCCTTTTGAATTATGCAAAATTTTATATATGTTGTGTGGCATAACATCGATGTTTTAAATTAAAAAGAAACATAGGAAATACTAGCTGATCGGAGTAGTTGTTTTGTGAAAGGGGTAGTCACCGGCCGTCGGTGTTATGGGACCCAAAGATTCCGTCGACGGTGAGAGAAAACTACTCGCCGCATATATGTAAGTTTGAAAAAAAACCACGAAAGATTTGACACGTAAGTATAGTGGGCCCCAGTAATATGGTTGGTCCAATGTATGAACTTCAAATTACAGATGAGTCAGCATTTTATTTTTAAAATCTCGAAGCCCGTGTGACCGGTCACGTGAGGCCCAGGATGCCCGCTCTGTTAAAAATATTATGTCGGTCAAATACTTATGCAATTGGCTAACAACTCATTTCTTTGACCATTAAATACATATAAATAAGTAGTAACTTTTATAATTATTACTGCTCCTTTATTTTGGTAATTTTATGGAATGAGATTTTTTTCTATTTAAAACATGCTTATCAATCAAGTCAATGAAATAAATTTTGGGGTTCGATTATTTTGAATACCTGAAAAAATACTGCTTATTAAGGATTTTCAAGTGAAACGATGTAATAATAATCAGCTTAGTTATTTTCTCCATATAGTCAAGTGACGTTCAATTTTTCTTTTTGTTTTGCTCTACGTTGTTAGAATACAGACTATGTTTGATGACCTAGATAAAAGAAGAAAATAGTCTTATTTATTGCATCATATTTTTTTAATTTGGATGAAAAAATAAAAATAATTTTTATTCTTTTTTTATATAATCTAGTATTTGATCCTCCCAAACAAATTCATTGACACTGAGTAGGAGGAAAAGTTTATGTGCATTAATTGTGTATGACAAATACATTATGATCAAAATTTCTGATTCTTGGACTTTCCTTTGGACAAAGATGAATTTTGAAGTTTAAATGATTTTTTTTTTTTACTTTTACAGCTAGGAATAACGTGGTGGACAACCTAGAATTAGCCGCCATTAATAATTTGGTTTTGTACGGCTCTGGGTTTTACCTTCTTTATATTTACTTTCATCGAGGATTCTAACTGAACCCACGCGATTCTCGTCTTCGTGGTGGAGACGTACAGCACTAATACCCTTTCTTTTAGAGCGTGTGGTACAGACGCGCATTGATGCGTGTTGGGTATGTATGGCTGGAGCCTCTCTTTTTTTTACCAGAAGCAAGTGTCCCAATTGTCGACGCTATTTTCAGTAAAAATGTTGGCAATAACAATCTTTCACCCCACAAAGTGGCACATGGACAAGTGAAATAGTACGTATGATACAAATAAATAATCGTGATGGTTTCAAAAATTTTATGTAGACAATTTTAAAATATAAAAAAGTAAATATAAGATTGAGTTAGAATTAACGATACATAGGATTATTACTAAGTATCTAAATATAAATAGGTAATCATATGAATTAATAAAAGGATTCATAAAAATAATAGGTAATCATATGAATTAATAAAAGGATTCATAAAAATAATTTTAACTATTTATAGCTAGTGTAATTTTTTATTAGGATTTTTGATGAATCCCTTCAAGTCTAAGTTGGCTCCGCCAAGAGTTCATGATCTATTATATTTAGATATACTTAAAAAATAATTTTAATCATATATAAACAATATCATTTTCGCAGAAGAGATCTAAATGAACTTCTAGCATCGGGCTAGCTCCACCCGGAATAAAATATGATTATCCCCTTGGAACTCTGTTTCATTAATCGTACTGTTTTATATTAGAATTTTAAATTTTTAACCCCTAATTAATTGTACTTTTTTTAAGGATCCGACTTTAGTTATTTAAACTATTCAAACACTAATCTTAGCCATTACTAAAACTTTACTTATATATCAGTTGATTAGTCGAAAATAATAGTAGTGAGCAACACCTCATTAGAAACATTTTTTGTGTAAAAATATTTTAAAACATTTGAGTATACAAAATCTAAATTCAAAAAAAAAGTAATGTGAGGAGATTAATAATGAAAAGAAATACAGCCCAACCTATCAATGACTATAACAACATTATTGGTTGCTGGAGTAACATCAGCATTGAAATAATACAAATTACATTTTAAGGGTGTGTTTTGGTACGAAGAAAAAAAAGTTCCACCTAAAGATTGATTCGATAAATAATTACTTATTTTTTTCCGTGTTTGATATGCAACATAAAATAATATCTTTAGTATATTATAGATGGGTCGGGTAGAGATGTGGGGATGGAGCCTAAGAGACTATCGCTCATGAAACAATATTTTCTTACTTTTATAAATTAAGTCATTTTTTTATCTTTAAAAAAATTATTTTTTTCATAAATAAAATATTTGCCAAAAAAAATGATAAAAACTAAAAATATAAAAATATTTTTCTTTGTATCAAACACATAAACGGAGTATGGTTTTCGAGAAGAATCGAAGATTGCGGTTAGTTATGGGGTTATAACTTTTAGATTGAATGCAAAATTCGTACAATATTGGTGAATACATTGTGTTAATTTACTTACTATAATACAAATGTTTTGCAGTTGGATTACATTAGCTACAGAAGAAGTGGAAGTGGAAAAATAGGCAAGTGGGAGATGGTACTTTGTGTCCGTCTTGGGATGCTGGCACGTAAAATCAATAAAAAGCTGAACTTTCATTATGTGAGAGTGCTCACATGTTCTACTTCTCTGCACACATTTATGGAATTGTGGCGCTACACATGCCATCTTCTTTCTTAATCACCATTCAACCGTTGCTAAATTTTCAAAAATATTCATTGCCAACACATAGAATAGATACATAATACAATAACTTGGATATTAGTTATCTTGGTAAATTACCAAAATCAAAATAGAATGAACTAAATATATGTATTTTTATAATTAACTTCTTTTTAACAGTATAAGGGATTGTGTGGTAAAGTATATAAGAATAATGCAAAATATAATGTACTAGTAATGTTTGTATCAGTTATAATGAGATTCTTTTAATGCAATGTTTGGTTTAATGTACTAAAAATATTATGCATTACATATTTCTTTTGGAAAAAGTATTTGTTCACAAAAGTATCCTTCAAAAATATAATGGAAAGGATGTAAAAAAAGGTTTTTGAGGGCAATTGTGTCTTTAAAATATTAATGCATGCATTAGAACCCATTGCATTACTAATGCATTGAAATAGATGGTACTAGTAATACACTCTTTAATACACAATAGAGTGTATTACTAATATAAGCATTAGGGGATGAATGTTAGATTTTCTAACATTAGGGGAGAGATGATTTTGACAGCTGAAAATTATGTGAGGTAAATTATGAATTAATAAGATCCTCGTTAAATAAATATGTGAACTTAAAGTTCAAGAGATAATTCATTTGCAAGATGTTGCAAATCAGTTGTCAGATGAATGTACTGGCCCTATGATATAATTCAGCTGCAAATACTTCAATGTGAAATCCTTGAAGGACAGAGTCTATGATACGCCGGAAGCGTAATAGACCAATCGATTCCAAATATAAAATTCCTTGAAGAAGGAGATGAGCAAATGATCAGTATGATCATGATAATGAGACAAGTGCTATAAAAGAGCACGTTGACATAACACTTCATAAAACCTCGAAAAGGTTCAGGTACCTGAAAAATAATGAAAATGAAGAGATCTCGATAAGTTATGTTTTGTTGGAATCGATATCAAATACTATCAATGTTATCTTTGATATGAGGTATCATTCAATGATATAAATTGTGACGAGAATGTTGAATTCAAATCTGTCATAGTGTGTGGATAGATGAATGGTTGGCCAAGTAAAATGCATAATTCAAGTATATTGTTTCACTTAGAAAAGTGACGTTTTAGACTAGTAGTCCATAAATCAAGGTATAATGTCAGTGGGGTACGATAAATTCTTGTGCGATGGCATAATCGTAATATATCAAGTACAATTTGTGCCTTGGGGCATAAAGTTTTTCGTAAAATTCCTGACATTATTGGGGATGTTTTCTCCTATGGTGGATTCAATGAGGTTTGTTTTGATCTGACAACATATGAAAACTTGAATGCCTATAATGAATAATTGTCATGTCTAGCTAGACAATGAAGGTTATATGAAAATCCTCGAAGCAATCGAGGTGTCTGAAGCATATAAAAGTTTGAAAGAAACTTTTTCAATAAAGCTTCAAGAATCCTTATATGGATTGAAAAAGTCAAGGAAGAAAATGATACAAAGAATGACCCTAATTGTCTTTGTATTTTTATGAAAAG